GATCATTTGGTTACCAAGAAGTTAAACTCACTCAAGGAAGCTTAAATTAAAAGAGGATTGGTTCTATGGACACAATTGTGGACAGCACAAGCTGATCTCAAGGACCTGTAATCTTTTGGGTGTTCTCTCACTTTACTCTTTTTCAGAACCACGTGTTCTGTTAAATCTGCCTCTCATCCTACCTGCTTCCTCTTCCTCTCCTTGCAGACCAGCTTCCTTGCTCACACATCCACTTACACAATATCTATCATGGAAACTCCACTGGCAACTCCACATTGGGACCCGTCTCAATGGGTCGTGCTCCTTTGCAGTTCAGCAACCCTACCTTCCCCCACCTAACTGACTCAGTCTCTGTCACCCTATTTTAAATTGGAGAGAGACAGATGTAACTGGCCCACCATGAGTCAGCTATTTACCCTTGGTTTAAACAGCTCTGGTAAAAGTGAAAGGCAGTGAGGTAGATGAAAGGAAATGAAAATGGGTCTGGAAGCTAAGAAGATCGTGGGAGGTAAAGATTAGTATATCTTGTACACACTGTCCCTCAGCACTGGGATTATGGATGATTACTTTCTTTATACGTTTTAGCATTATCCAATTTTCCTAAAATGATATGAGTTGGGGATAGAATGATTAGTGTTTAAAGGGACAGGCTCTGGATCCAGACAAAACTAAGTTCAAATTCTTGCTCCTCTACTTCCTAGTTGTGTGACTTGAGCAAATCCCTTCACCTTTCCAAGCCTTACCTGAACTACAGGGTGTTAACTTTCTTAAAAGCTATCGTCAGCATCGGTGAGATATGTAAGCAGAGCACCGTGTCCCATTCGCGGCAATCACTCATGAAATGCAACGGCACATTATTATTGTGCATAATACTTATAATTAAACATTCTCTAAAAATTAAAAAAATCCTCACAGTCACATGTCAGTTATCACTATTGAGCTGGCAGGACAGGACACTTGCTACTGTTGTTTTCCTACTCCATTCCTCCCTGGAACACAGAATTTGTCTGTGCTGGAAATGGCTATTGGAAATTACCACTGCCTACCCACTGCCCTTCTAACACATATAATCAATAAGCTAAGACAAGTCCCTCTTCCTCACAGCCCTCATCCACTAGCTCTAAATGATCATTACTGGGCATGCTCAGAGGGTCCCGGGGCTCATATGTTAATTGACTACACACTCACTTAATGGGGAACTCCCCAATTCCCCAAGCAGGAGCAGACTTTGTGCTACCTCCTCCATCCTGGTGCATTCTGGGAGCCTGTAGAGGAGAGGGGGTCGGCAGGTGGTGCATCTGATCAATTAATTAGGAGCATGTTGAGAGGTTTGACTCCAAGCCTAGATAATTGCATAATTAAATCTCCACCCATCCTCCATCCCAATTCCCAGTCCAAATGGCTCTCCCCAGCCTGCCATCCCTGTTAGCTGGGGAGAAGACATGAATCCTGTTCAGGTTCTTTCCCGGGCAGAGACAGGCCCTACCTCTTCCCGCTCCTCATTCTGGCTGAAACTGGCTGGGGAAATGTTTTTTAAGAGCATCTGAGAATGAAAGTGGACCAATTTCCTCAAAAGGTTGTGTGGGTGTTAAAGGAAATAATACAAAGTGAAATGAAGCTTTTCAAGGGGAAATACCTCAAATCCTTTGACCTGCCTTCAATTAGCAAGGCTTGTTGATGTAGTCCCCCACAGATGCTCTGCCAGACAAGGCTAGTTCTCTCTGCCATATTCATTCTCCTCTTTTCTTTACCATAAGAGCTTTCTTTTTGTTCATGGCACTCACGTATGCAGCTGAAATAAAATGTCCTTCCCAGACTCCCTTGAGCAATGAGTGGCCACGAGGCACTTCTGTGCAGTCAGATGTTGGTAATAGACTTCAGGGAGGGAGACCCTGTACAAATAACAGTACAGAAGAGGAGTTTGCCTCCTGCCCTCCACCTTTCTCCTTTTTCCTCTCTTGAAGACACATGCAATGCCTGGAGGTGAAGCAGCCTTTTTGCAACCATAAAAATAAAAGCCAACCTCTGAAGATGACTGAGCTGAAAATGGAAGGAACCTGCGTTTATAACATCATCATAAACAGCCATAAAAGCTCATGCTGCCACTCTAGATTTGACATGATATAAGAAAATAAATAAATAAATAAATAAATAAATAAATAAATAAGCAAATAAGGATTGGACGAAACTGCTGTGATCAGCTATTACCTGCAGAGGAACACACTCCTAACTGCCTAACTGACACAGGTGCTAACATTAGTCACACACACACACACATATATATGTATATATATTGAGGTGGAGTCTTGCTCTGTTGCCCAGGCTGGATGACACTTAGATATGTCAATATGTAATCATAGTAATAATAACAACCACATATAATGAATATGTGCTGTAGCATAGGGTTATTGGGAGCATTTTGTGAGATGAATTATTTAGAACCCCAGTACAATGGCAGGCACAATGAAAACAGTAATGAATCTTGGCTCTTATCAGAATTTGAGGTTGAGAGAGTTCGTTCATAAGACGAATTAAGAAGAAATGAAACAAAGGTAGAAAGGAGAAGGTAACACCAAGATTTGGGGAACCGCAAACAGAGGGATAGCACCCATGCTGGACTCAGAAAACTTCTCCATTGGCAAAGATCCTGGACCTGCCTCTTACACGCTATGTGACCTCAGGCAAGTTACTTAACCTCTGGGAACCTCAGTTTCCTTTTCTGCAAAAATGAGATAATTGTGAGGATTAAGGAAGCTATGCCCAATGTAAGGGCTTAGTGCCTGTGGTTAGCACTTGTGGTTAATTCTGCCCGGAGACAGGCAGGAATCTTAAGAAGAGCCTCTCTCAGAGCACGAGACAGGTTGCATAAAAGACAACACTCCAGTCTTTCAGCAAAGGAGTTTTGCAGCAGTCCCCATGAGAAGCAAGTGGAGGTACTCAGCATATTCCTCACTTTGATAAAAAATCTCTCAAAGAGGCAGTAAATTACCAAGTCCTTGTTTTAGCTAAATCAAACATACTGCAGATTCCATTGGCGTTTAATACTGATATTATGGCCCCAGGAATAACAAGTGAAAGTAATTAAGTTTAATGATTCCAACGAACCCAGTATGCTTGATTGCAGTGTGTATGTCTGATTATCTTCTTCTTTGTTGTTGTCGTGTGTGGTATAAATAAGGCCTACTTGTAAAAATAAAAAAGGCACTAATTTGAAGATGTATCAGGGAAAGTTGCATTTGCAGCACCTTTTTGAAGGGTTTGCTTGCTTTCTCAAAACACTGGTAGGGAGAAAGTCGCTTGGCTTGTCAAAGTGGCAAAGGAGAGATGATGTAATGCTTGGGTCTCTAAATGGTGGGACAAAGCCAGTCTTCCCAATTGCAGAGGAGGAAAGGAAGGAGGCTCAAGCCTGTAGGTCCTCACCAAGGTAAAGGATCAAAAGACGTTGGGTAAAGGTTAAAGGCAAAACTTGGACTGAAAATCGTGAGGCCTATTTCCCTCAGAGAAAGGGTATGTTCTGCTCACCTGGACAGATATCCCTGGGAGAGACTGTTTCACTGGCCTCCATTTCCCCCACACCTCCTTGCATCCATGTTCTTTGCCATGTGACTTTCAGTCCTTTTCACTAAAAGGACAGAATGGATTTCCCCACCTTTTGACTTCAGGTTTGAACATATGATTTCCCTTAGCTAATGGAATTAGGTGGAAGCAGCATGGTACCACCTACAAGCTTTGAATGTTTCCACTTACTATCTTGTGTTTCTGTACCATGCTGCTTTCACCTAATTCCATCAGCCAAAGGAAGTCACACGTCCAAACCCAAAGTCAAGGGCTGGGTTTAAGAGGCCTTGAATATTTCCATTTACCATCTTGTGTTTCTGCCACTGCTATGTGCCCAAGCTTCAGCTAGCCTGCTGATCCCAGGCAGAGAATGACCGACACCTGGAGTGGAGCCCCTGCAACTAGCCTAGCCTGATCAGCCAATCCCCAGCCAAGCTGCAGATGTATGAGCTAAATGTATCCTTATTGTTGACTTACTTATTAAATATCATAAGATTTTTTTTACGAAGCATAAGGGCTCTGATATAACCATGAAAACCTTGAAGTGTTTTCAGAATTTCGTGACAATAAGAAATTTTCTGAGGAAACAGTTTTCCAGTTTTCAGGGAATTCTTAAAGCTGCGTCTGACCCAAGGGAAATCAGAAAGTCCCTGTAACTGTTAACCACACCTACCTGTACTCAGCCACAAGCTGTAGACTCCCGACTCATCCTCAGCTCTTCTGTACTTCCCACTGTCTCTTCCCAACTCCCATTTGGTAATATCATGCTAGTAACTTGAAATCAGCCATGGGGGAAGTACTCATACCTAAATTGGAAAAGACTACAAACCAAGGCTTCCCCACTTCCCATCCCCTCACAGAGAGTCAGTTTACCAGTATTCATGCTTCCCACAATCAGCTGGGGTCAAGTCCTCTTACTCCTTTGATATCAGCAGTACCTCTTGCAAATGTTCCCTATTCCACAACCTCACAAGGACATCCTCAGCATCCTTGCGCAGGGAGCAGCCTAGAGTTGCAGGGTGCATGTCAGAGTCAAATGATCTGTGGTTGATTCCAAGCTCAGCTACTTAGCAGTTGCATGATCCTAGCAAGTTCCTTCAACTCTCTAAGCCTCCTTCTCCCCATCTGTGAAATGGACATAACAAAGTAGTATCTAACTCTTAGGGTCGTTAGGAAGATTCAGTGAAATGACTTAGCAAAGCATGTAGCACTGAGCCTGACACCTCCTAAGCACATGATAGGTGACAGCTCTCAAGACTTGGTTCATGTTCACATCATCTTTTGTCTGATTTATTTGCAAAACCTTCCAACGGACCTTCCTCTTGTTGGTCTTGCCCCTTTCACTCTATCCTCTCCACAGCCGACAGAGAAAATGGGAGGAAAACATTCCAGAAGTTGCTCTCAGAGTCAGCATGTGGATGTGCTCTTTGTACAATTCCACCATGGCGTACTACGGCCAGGGCCAGAAAGTGCAGAGGGTTATGGTACAGCCCTTCAACCTCATCTTCAGATACTTACAAAATAGATCGCAGATTCAGGTGTGGCTGTATAAGCAAGTGAATATGAGGATAGAAGGCTGTATCATTGGCTTTGATAAGCATATGAACCTTGTGTTAGATGATGCAGAAGAGATTCATTCTAAAACAAAGTCAAGAAAACAACTAGGTCGGATCATACTAAAAGGAGATAATATTACTCTGCTACAAAGTGTCTCCAACTAGAAATGATCAATGAAGTGAGAAATTGTTGAGAAGGATACAGTTTGTTCTTAGACATCCTTCGTCCCAATATGAACATTTATTCATATTGTTTTGATTACCCTTATGTTACTACAAGATGGGAATAAATGCTATGGGATTGTTTGTATTAAAAAAAATGAAAGTAGCCAGGGTGGGGGGTGTCAAGCACAAACACAATTGTGTTACTCCCTTGCTCAGAACTTTCCAGTGATTCTCCTTTGCCTTCAGGAGACAGTCCCAATTTATAAATGGGGAAACTGGAGTTTGAAGAAGTTAAAACATTTGCCCAAGGCCACACAAGTAGTAAATGACATAGGATTTGAATCCAGACTTTCCATGTCCACATTCTGCCTTTTTCACCACTAAGAGATACCAAGGATAAAAGAATAGGTGATCACAAGGTATGGATGGGTGAACAGATAAAATTACAAAAGGGACAGAAATACAGAAGGATAGAAGCATGAGTGGAAGTCTAGAAGGATGGCAGACTCTACGAGGAAAGGATGGGTGGATGGACGAATGGAAAGGTGGAAGGATAGAGGAACAGAAAGAGAAGAATAAATGGACTGAAGGATGAAAATATGGAGGGATTCTCCTAAGTTGCATTCACTCCCTCTGTCTTACCTAGGTTTATCTGGCAAGGGCTCTGTCCCTGGACACCTAGCTGAGACATTTGCTAAGAATGTAGCAAATCCTATGGACCCTTCCATTTCCTAGTTTCCTTTTCCTCCATCAGCACAAATCTAGTTCATCTCTGAACAAGTCTCTCTTGGTAAACAGCTTCCAGGGAATTGACCACTTCTATCTTCTTCCAGAAGCTCAGACTTTTTGATGGCCAGGGACCAAATTTTGTATCTTAAGAACTAACATTCACTAGGCACTTACTGTATGCTAATCATATAATTCTGTCATTTAGTCTTCACAACACACTTATACGGTAGGTACTGCAATCCTCTCCATTCTGAAAATGAAGAAATAGAGTCACAGAGAGCTTGCATAATTTACTCAAAGTTGCAAAACTACAAAATGGTACATCCCAGGATTGCTCAGGCGATCAGAACCCAAGGTGTGCACTCATAATGACTATGCTAAACTTTTTCTCTCCTTAGTTATCTCAACTGGTAGCTCCAGTCCCCGTATTTGGATGGAAAATCTATTATCAGTCCATGAGGACTAAAGTCACATTATCTGTTAAGACCTTACCTATGGCATTTCTCATGCACCTACCAATTTATACTGAACAACAATCATAATGAACAGCCACCAAGTGCAAGTTACAAAAGTTTCACCATTATGAAACCATAACCCTATATGCCACAAAGGCACCTCCCACATTGATCAAAGGGCCACTGGCATCCTGAGAAAAACATTCCTATCAGTGACATAGCCTAGTTAGAACAAAAGATTCATAGAATTGTGATGAATGAGACTGTGGGCAAGCACCCACCCAATTTGGTTGAAAATATACCACAATGTTTTCAGAATCTGGCAAATCTGGATTCTGGCTCCAGCTCTGCCATTTGGTTAAGATATGAGATGCCAGTACTTGACGTCTCTGAGCCTCAATTCTCTTATATGCAAAATGGGGAGAACAATAGCAGCTTGTGAACAGTTGTAAGAATGAATGAGATAACCTGTACAAAGGGCTTAGTACAATCAGGAACACACTATGGATCATTATCATGGTGGTGGCTGTTATATCCAGACTGCTGGAGCAACTATATCTTCTTTCTCTTCTCTATTATATCCAGACTGCTGGAGCAACTATGTCTTCTTTCTCTTCTCTCTCTCTTTCTCTCTCTCTCTCTCTCTCTCTCTCTCTGTGTGTGTGTGTGTGTGTGTGTTCAAACAAAGCAAAAAATCAAATTCAGCCCACTTTGACCAAAGGTCCAAGCCTCTCACCTCTCTATTTGTTTGTTTTTTTCCTTTTCCAAAAGCTTCCCAAAGTCCTTTTGCCAGAGAATCAGTTGGGTGAACTCCTCCTCTGGCTTGACTGACTTCCCCTTGTTAACTGACCGGGTTCAATGCAATTTAATTTCATTGAGAGGAAGTGGTTCAGAAATCAAGGTCATTTAATTTCTGAAAGGTGAGTGAAAGGTTGCCTTTCCCAAGTGATCTTTCTGCCATTTATTCCCCTTAAAATGAAAAGTACAGTGGTTAATACAATGGCTTCAAGGTTATGTTAGATCACCTTTGCAAATAAGAGAAGAATTCTTTCTACAGGATTTTAATTAGGTCGAGTACAACTAATTCTTCCTTTGGTACTTATTCCATTTCCTTTCCTTTCTGTAATTACTGCCAGTGTAACGCTCCTCACACACACAAATGGAGCTGAAGAAAGCCCTGCGATTATCCTTTATTTCTCCTTCATGCAAGAAAGGAGGGGGTTATCTACTGCATTCAGCCTTTGAAAATCTGGGGACTATAGTCTTAATAGCCTTACTCACATGAGTGCCAACCTCACTGTAGGAGTGAGGAGGTTCCTAATTTTATCCCAACACCACAACACACACATCTCCCCTTCACCTTACCTACAGAAGATGACTAGGCATCAAGACAAAGGAAACCAACTCAGGTACACGTCGTCAATCAATAAACCTGTATTGAGTGCCTACCAAGGGCTCAGTAGGGTGTTAGGTGCATGAGAGTGGGGTTGCAAAAGAGTTAAAGGAGCTTAATCAGGTTTGGCGAGACAGATAATTAGCAGGTAAAATAAATCAGCAGTACTCAGTTTGGTTCTAGAAGAGTGAAGGCACTGTGTGTGGTGGAGGACATGAAGGAAGTGGGGGAGGCAACCGAATGCTTCACAGAGGAGGTAAGCCTTGAGTTGACCTTGGAAGCACCAGTACAATGCAGATCTCTCACTCCTTTAAAAATATATATTTACTGAGTGCCTAATATATGTTGGGCATTGTTTAAGTATTTTATATGCAATACTTCATTTACTCCTTTCTTCAATCCGACATGCAGGTGCTGTCTTTGCCCCTACGTTACAGATGAGAAAACTAAGACTCTGAGATATAAAGCAGCGAACTGTTCAAGAACATGTAACAGTGGCAAAGCTTGGATTTAAATCCAGGTTTTCTTTTTTTTTTTTTTTTTTTTTTTTTTTTTTTTTTTGAGATGGAATCCCGCTCACTCTGTCACCCAGGCTGAAGTGCAGTGGCACAATATTGGCTCACTGCAAACTCCACCTCCCAGGTTCAAGTGATTCTCCTGCCTCAGCCTCCTGAGTAGCTAGGATTACAGGTGTATGCCACCATGCCCAGCTAACTTTTGTATTTTTGGTAGAGATAGGGTTTCACCATGTTGGCCGGGCTAGTCTCAAACTCCTGACGTCAGGTAATCCACCTGCCTCGGCCTCCCAAAGTGCTGGGATTACAGGCGTGAACCACGGCACCCAATCCCAAACCCAGGTTTTCATCATAGCACTTGTTACTGGCTGTAATTCTTTTGCTTTAATTCTGTATTTATGAGTCTTCTCCCTCTATTATGTGAACTCCAAGAGAGGAAGACTTTATCTGGCTTGATTACTGCAGACTACTCAACATCTGGATCCCTCTGGCATATAGTAGGTGACGAGCAAGTATGTGTGGAATAACAGACTGGATCACATACTCCAAGAGCCAAGAGGAGGATGCTACACTGTAAACTCCAACAAGTCACTTTCCATGGCTGTCTTGCACCCTGCAGTATCACTAGCACCCAGGACAATGTCCACAGTACCTGATAGCTACTCAATCACTGTTGAATGAATGAAGAAAGGAAAGAAAGAAAGATCACTGGAACAGAAAGACACTCACCAGTTTAGTAGAATGCAAATTCAGATCAGCTAAACTATTATTCTTTGTCATCGATGGACAAAGAAATTGCTACAGACCGAGCCAGAGATACTCACTGCCCTGAATCCGTTCCCAAGAAGATCCAAGTGCCTGGCAAGCCCGTGTTCCCGGTGATCCCCTCCGTGCTTGTCACTTTGGCCTCATTTAAAAGAGAAAGTGCCCGCAGGATCTTACAGCTCTCACTGCCAGCTTTGATTCTCTTTTCATTAATTTGTGTTTTCCTAAGGAATATTTATTTATGTAGTCTGTGTTTGGGCAATTATTGAAATTACGTGTAATTACGTGGTGATAGTAAATAATAATAATCACCTAGCTGCAACATGCACTGTTTCTATTATGGATAGGAATTTTGTGCAATTTACTAAGAAACATTCTAATGTAGGAGTGCTGATTAGAAAGGAGGGAGGGCGTCGTTATGAATGCTTGGCTATCACTATTCTTATGCAACTGTGTGCAAGAAAGTCCTATATCCTGTTTATCCAGCCTTGGAACTGTACTCTTTGAATATTATTACCATTATTACTATTAATAATAGCTACTCAATCCACCACTTACAATGTGCCAGATCCACTTTAAATCCAAATTAAAATTCAGTGCAAGCTTGAGTGCCTTCCGAGACCAAGCAAGCTTGGAAAATGACTTAAGCAGACTGGGCTGGGGATCAATAGGGAGGAGTGGGGTCTGTGGTGAATGGCAGATTGCATTCCTCATCTACAGAAGACAGCTGCTCCTCAGCTAAAGCCAAACATTGCCGTGAGGAGATGAGGGAATGGTGCTGCCATTTCTGATCTTTTTTCAGAAGTCAGAAATATGGATTTTAATGCAAAATTCCCAGAGTTTTAACTGCTGTCTGCCAACAGCCTGTGTGCTGCCTGCGTGCAAGCCTCCATCTCACATCGTCTATCAAAAACCTCTGAGGAAAACCGGTCTGTGAGCAGGGGCTGTGTTCACTTTGTTGATTGTGGGTGGGGGGAAGGGAAGGAAAAATTGCATGGAGCCAATGTAGAAGCTGTAAGAGCTCATTTCTCATTTTTATTTAAAATTTCATGGAGGTAATTTCAGAGAACAATGAAATATCATCGGAAGTCTGGCTGGAGAGGAGAGGCACATGAAGGAGAATGATGGAATGACTGGCGGTGCTGATAAGGAGGGTTAGGATAGATCAGCCAGAGTCATGAAG